AATCATAAAATTTGCAGGTGTGGGTGTGGATAGCTGACAAATTTTGAGGATTTAGGGCATGAAACCACCAGCCTTTATTCATCCACATAATCCTAATCCATGTAAATTCCACCAAATTTGTTGTTGCTGTTCATCTAGTGAGTCAGAGTAAGGCCTCTCTACAGGTCACATTGTGTTCTTCTGAAGATGGCTCATGGTGCTTTTGTTTTGCTTTCGGGTAACTTCTGTGGTAAGCTGTCTCGTTCAGTCACATCTCCCAGATTTGAAAATAGGAAAATCCAACTAACTTACCCTATTGCTGAGCTCTTAAAAGTGATGAAAGCTGTGATTTCAAGTGCCCTGGCCTGTCTGGGGGATTTTACAAGTCCTTGGGAGCCCAGCAGGAGAAAAATGCTGGTGTTAAAGCCCTGGGCCCCTTTGCCACTGTGACCAAAAAGACAAAAGGTAATTTAAAAAAAAAAATTAGCCCCCCCACATCCTGGGTTTTGCAGTGGCTGTGGAAGTTGGCTCCTGAGACTGTTACTCGTTTTTAATTTAAATCAGGCTCTTTTTGGTTTCCACCGCGAGAGGGCGGCGGCGGCCCGGGGAGCTCGGCGGTGGGTCAGCCAGGGGCCGCTGCTTCGCTCCGTCACATTGTACCGCCTGTCCCTGCGGCACGGATGCTCATAACCCTCTCTTGCAGGTAACATTCCGGACAAGGATCTACCACTGTAACATTAACAGCCAAGGCGTCATCTGCCTGGACATTTTAAAAGACAACTGGAGTCCAGCATTAACCATTTCTAAAGTTCTTCTCTCCATCTGCTCCCTCCTCACAGACTGCAACCCGGGTAAGTTCCCTGCATGGCCACGCAGGCTGCCTGCCACCTTGCACCCCTCCTGGCATCCAAATATTACATGGCCCTCATCTCACCCTGATTGCTTCAGCCAGCTCCAGCCAGCATGGCTCCAGCCAGCATGGCTTCAGCCAGCATGGCTCCAGCCTCCAGAGTAGCAGGTTTCCCTCTCCAGGGCAGACGGAGAAGGGCTGGAGGTGGTGGAGGTGATACACCCAAACAGCCTGCTGTTCACAACTCCTCAGGCTGACCCAAGAGGAAAGCAGTGGTCCTTCTCGTGCACATGAAAACTTCTTCCCCTTCCAAACCCACACTGGGTTTGGGTGAGGGTTGAACACTCTTTGCTGGTCTGTAGGGTTACAATAATTTGGTAATGGAACTGGAAGAGCCACAAACGCAGTTCTGAAAACAGGGGATTAGCCTCTTACTTTCCATCATCCATTTAAAGCCAGTGACCAACTATACCACAAGTAATTGTCACTGCTGCTCTAACCCACCCACTATCCACACCATTGAAGAGGAATAGGTCTTGGTTTTCAAAGTCAATTTTACAGGTTGTATTTTTATATATCTGAAGATCAGAGAAACACCAGATTTCACACTGTGTTATATATGCTGAACTTATTGGAACCTCTTCTTGAGATCTGATCTTTCCTAGAAGGCAGGTTTATATTGATACAAAGACATTTAGCAATGAGTGTGTCTCAGGTGCTTTTAGAGGGAATAAAATAAACCTGAAATGCATGAATTGGTAAAAGTTCTCAGTAATGCAAATTATGACTGATTATTGTCTCTTAAACTCCTTAAAACTTTGTTGACATTTCACTCTGTTAAGTTATAGATTAGTACATCACCATAAATACACAAAATCAGAGAGGATACAGACCATCAATTCAGTATGTTTAGATTGTTACAGTGAACCTTATCTTGTATTAAATTCACAGTTCAGCTTTTTTTTAAAGTTTTTATTTGGTAACTTGTCTAAAATAAGCAGTGTATTTCCTTTTCAGCTGACCCCCTGGTTGGAAGCATTGCCACTCAGTATATGACTAACAGAGCAGAGCATGACAGAATGGCCAGACAATGGACCAAAAGATACGCTACATAAATTGGATTTTTGTCAAACTCTTACATTATTCGTCTGTGATGGAAAGAGCTGCTTATGAATTTGAAGGGGGGGGGGGGAGGGTGCTGGTAAAGAGTAGGGTATTTCTATAACAGATTTTATTCAGTCTTTTATTTCCTAAGATTTTGTTGTTGTAACTTAAGGTATCTTGCTACAGTAGACAGCTAGGATTGGGAATAGCATACTTTAAGACTGTAATTAGTTCAGCAATATTAGCTCACATATAGTACCGAGAAGAATGTAAACTTCTTAGACTTCTTTGGTTTTCAGTTTGCTTGCAATATGTAAAAGATTAAAACAGCTTAATTTTGTACAGGTACATAGGTTGACGTTTATGTAAAAGTCCTTTCAAGACTCTACACACTGTTTTTGCTTTTTGTTTGTTTTGGGTTTGGGGGATTTATTTTGTTCTGGGTTGGTTTTGGTTTTGGGTTTTTGTTTTGTAAAAAGATGTCGGCATTGTTTTCCCCTGTGGAGGGCACACTGGTATTTAACAAATCCTTTTTAAAGACTGTCATCTCATGATCTGTGATATGGAGAGGTGGATATATGGCCTCATATATGAAAGGAGAAGTAGTTAATGTATTATTTTATAAGCCAATCTATCTTTGTGAAAAGAATAAAGGATTTAATCAGGACTTATGGTAACCTGTAGTGAAATACCTTAAGCTGTTTAACTGTAAGGTGTGGAATAGGAGTCACTCAGTGGATTGGTTGTATGTTGTGGGCTACTTAAGTCTGCATTTGTTACTGTGCTAATAAAAAGATGTTTAAAAAAAAAAAAAGAAAATATTTCTGCTTAGTCCGTTGCTTTCCCATTTTGCCAGAATGGTGTCTCTCAGTACACTTTGAGGATTACGGTATGGTTAAGGACAAGGGAGATCTGCAGGTGAGTGCACTGACTGCTGCTATTTTGGGAAGACGGTTCTAGACAACCATACAATGAATGACAGCATAAGACCTTCGCAATTGTTCACTGATTAAGTGTTGTGCAGGGGCATGGCCGTGAGGAGGTAACATACCACAGAATCCATGATAGTTACTTTTTAGTGGAAGTTTTCACAGCATTGCCTCTTCAGGAGTGGCATGTTGTGTGAAAGTACAACTGGAAAAGTGTAAGCAGTCTAGAAGGGAAAGAGGCAGGAGGTAAAAGGAAGAAAAGAATATCTTGATGCTTTTCTGATGGAGTGGTCTATTTGGACTTGGAAGAGGAGAAGGAATCGTGTCCTGGTAAGCTAGCAGGAGACACTGTAAAGGAGACTTAATCTGTAGATCTTTTAACTACCTATAAAGATTATCTCCTAGAGACATGCTGTTTACATTGAGGTGTGTAGCAATAGGGCAGTTAGTTGTGGATATGGCATTTCAGACCACTCCCTTAAGGTAAAGGCCGGAAGCACAGATTCATTTTCACATGGCGAGTACTTCACCTTGTGAAATTCTTCTGGGTGCCACGTGGTCATCTGCACTCTCAGATTTGGGTTGGTACTTTAAAATAAATTCCATATATATTTTATTGACATACTTCTCTTCCTATCTAGATACATAGCCAATCTAACTTGGTCCAAAGTAAGCTGTTAATTAGAGGTGCCCTTTCCTTGGCTGGGTGGCTGTGGGTTGTAGTACCATAACCTCATCAGCTGAACTGCAGTCTTTTGACACAATGTATGTTTAGGTGTATGAGCTCCCTCAGCTGTTTGGCTGTTTGGTATATAGCTACATCACACCAGGAGCATCTCTGGCCATCTTTCCCTCCTCTCCTTTACTGAGTAAAGATGTAAATGGTTAAATCTCAGTAGGTTTTTGCCAGCTTCTTGCTTTGTGCTACCAGGACATGCCAAATTAATTGTTGTAGCTGGTGAGGGTGACTGATCTGTACAGTGGGTATTCAGCAGGATAGAGGTTTAAGAAGAACAGAGAAAGATAGTACAATTTACTAATTTATTTTTCTTCTTTTTAACAATTTTCCCCATTAGCTGGTGAAGGGACTCTAGCTTTGCAGAAGGTAAGTGATCCCAGTGACCTAGAACAGGGTTTGAGTCAGTGGAACAGTAAGAACAAAATAGGTGTTCTGCCCTTTAACTACTACATTATACTCTGTACTTTACTTATTGACCCTATGCAAAACTGTACTACAGCAAGTTTCATTTTCACTCAGTACCAGCCACTGTATGTACAGTGTTTGTAGAGGAGACACTACATTTTCCATCACTTGTCAATAAAATACTATGGTATTTAGAATAGATGATTTGAGTGCTTAAAAAGCATCAGAGTAAGCTTATGAAAGAAAACAGTGGGTGGTGGTTTTTTATGTGAATGCACTGGATGATCTAAACTCATTTCTAGTGAATTAACCAAATCAAAGATAACGTGTTTGCCTTTACGTAACCTATTTGAAAAAACGGCCTTAGTCTCACTTAGAAGATCCTTTTTGTCTTGCTTGTCTTAAAATATTGTCAAGTCCAGGAAGTCCAGGGGAGCAAGTGAGCAAGCTACACTTCCACTGCACAGCTCTGGCAGCCTACAGGTGACATCAGTCTTGGCAGTAGAATTGGCACTGAGTCTGCGGCGTGCAGAGCTGGACAGGAACCAGTCATCTCCGTTCTTTCCATCTCCACACGTTTTAAGTTAATTCTGACTTGTCAACCTGTACTCCCTTTGCTCAAGGGTGAGCTTCAGTGATGATTTTGATTCATCAAAAGTTGATTCAAGTCCCTTCTAGAAGGAGGATTCTGCAGACCTGAAGAGGGGGAACGTGACCCATTCCTTGGTAAGAGGTTGCAGCAAGGAGGTGAACCACTGCTGCTCTGAAGTCACCTCTACTTCCCCAGCATGCAGGCAGATATGGAGTCTTCTGGGCAGGGAGAAGCCTGGAGTACACGTGTGTTCAGTAGGAAATGAGTGAGTAGGGGGTGTTGTCCTGCAGCATCACTGGGGACAATGACTATTACTAGCCAGATTGGAGGAGGTCATGCTGTAGTGCTTACTCAGCTGCAGTGTTGCAATGGAAACAATTGTATGTTTCTAGCAGGGCAGTGCAGGAGCTTGCTCATTCATAATTGCTCTCTTATCTTACTCCTTGGCCACAGCAATCCAAACTATATTGAGCAAAGCACATAAACAGTTTCGTCTACCTTCATTGTAATGGTAGGGATACCTGCTTCGTTTTTAGTGAAGTGTACTGCTGCTCTGACATCAGTAATGCTGACAGACTTTATTAACCGGTGTTCAGGAAGAGCAATACTATAAGCTTAATTGTGATCATTAAGCACACTATTTAGCAGTTACGATATGACACTGCAAATATTGCTTGTGGTTTTGCTGATTCACAGTGGAATTCTCAGTATTTGTTCAAAACAGCAGTGAAAAATGCAGGAACTGGGTACTTAGGTTCATTCCCTCTCCCTGCTCGTCTTCAAATATAAAGAAAAGGTAGCATCTTTTAGTACCAGAGGTTGTTAAGATGCCAAAAACTAGCCACTATCTCTGAGAACAGTTGTTCATTCTGCTCCTCCATATATATTTTCCCTTTTGTTAACTTTACTGACAGGCTGACCTAGGACAGCAGATTCCTGCAGCACAGGTTTACCTTTACCAGCATTGAGTCAACACAGCACATTCAGTTGTGCTCCTGCTGCTGGAAAATGTGTAGCGTGATAAGTCCAAACTCATTTGGTACAGGTATTTCTTGGTGTTTTCCATGAGGATAGTCCCAAAAGGCAGCCCCCTACACTCCCTAGCCTGCTCTCACGGAGCAGTACAGCACTTTGTACCAGTTATTATCTGGCCTGTAGCTTCGTACAGGGGGTGGATTGCTGCAGCTTGGCTGAGCAGCCGGGTAGGAGTGTTATGCAATGCACTAAGCAGAGCCCAGGCAGTACCTCCTGCATACAAAATTGCTCTGTATAATTTCTCAGTACAATTATCACCTATGTGAATGTGACTGATTTGTACTGGACATGCTGGAACAAACCCACATACAGCTATGTTGTCCTTCAGGTCGCAGTTAAATTAATGAGTGCTCTGAGAGCTTTTCTGGTTTGTAAAATGAGTTCTTGAGCTGGAAGCACTGATTGCCAGACTTTGTTGACAAGCTTCATGTCAGGGTAGATCTGTTCTAGTATTTCCCAGAAGATGTGAGGGGTGTTTTTGTATGATTTTGGGTTTTTCTTCCTTCCAGACACTAGCAGAATATCAGTGGCTAAATTTGGTAATCATTCTTCCTTCCCCATACCCTTCTCCTGCAACAAGACACTGACCTCAGCCTTCTGCAGCATCAGTATGCTTTGTGGCCCTATTTAAGAAGAACTACTGCCATTTCAAACACAGTCTCTCCAAATTGCTTTATTGTAGCTAATACTATTTGTGATTAGAGGCTACAGATCTGCAAGGCCATTGCTTAATGGTAAGCTTGTTGATTTGTCCCTCAACATGGCTGCATCCAGGCATAGTAAAAGCCCCTGATAGAGAGGTGTCCATCTATCCCTTCTGTCTTCATAACCCTTGTTGCAAGATAACTGCTTTCATGAAGAGCTTTTTTAGGTTTTTACCCCCAACAACTTTTTCAAGCCAAGTCTGTGAGAAGAAAGGATACCTCTTAGCTATAATCTTGCTGATTTTATTGCTGAATGAGATTATTGCTTTAAGTGAAACTGCAAGAAGCAAATGGCACAAAAAGGACTTAGACTGTGACCTGGCAGCAGGAGACAATGCTAGGCTAGCCTAGTTATCACAGTTATTTCCTTTGCTCTTCCTTCCAGGCAAGGGAAATGTTGATTTGTTCTGGGACTGGGACAGTTTGCTAGCTAAGAAGGTGAAGGGTTCAAGCAGTGTTTTCCGATCTGTCACAGTCACTTCCCACAGTCTCACTTTCTCAGCCCTTGCCCATTGCTGTGCTGCTTCTGTTTCCACTTGCCTTTGGTCCAGGAGGTCAGTTTTGTTTCCCAAGACAATAACTGTTACCTACAAACCAAACGAGAAGGGTGAGCTTTATACCAAAACCATCCACCAGTCACAATCCTTTTAAACAACAGGCAAATAGCTACACAGTTCAGACCTGTCCTTTAACTTAGCCCTGACACAAGGTACGTTGCATGTAGTTTGGAAGATCAGGGTCTGGGATTTGAATTAGCCTCATCTTCTTGTGGGTTGGGAGCTTGTTTTTATCATAGGATATGCAGGACTTCCCCCTTCTCCCCACCCCGCTCCCTCCACCAATTGCTTGGAAGGGAAACAATACCCAAGAGATCCAAAGTTAAACAGCCTGATTCTCCGCTTACTTGGCAATTGACCTGTCCTAGGCAAATGATAAGAGCATGACATCTGAGTAGGTCAGAGCAGCAGATGCTTGAGAGATGAAAAAACGCACGGCAGCAGAGAAAGCCTGGACCCTACAGCTGTGGATTTTGCCCTGTTCGTTTCTTTTCCAAGCCCCAGCCCACAATATAAATAAAGCCAACCGTGCCAGCGGCCCGGGCAGGCTGTGCTGCTGGGCCCCTCTTCCAGCCCAGCCCCGCTGGCTGTCCCGTCCCAGGCATCAAGAGCCACCAGAAGGACCGAAGCAGGGACAGTCTGCTGAAAGGGGCAGATAAGCACCATCACCGTCCTCTGGGAGGCAGTTTCAAGAGCAGCTGGTTATTAGCCAAGTAGAGCAGCACAGCGGTATCAAGTCAGATTCATAGCTGTAAGGATCCACCAAGTGACTTCTGTATGACCGAGACAGTACAGGGTGGCTGAGCTCAGTAGGTATATGCAGCCTTCCCAGTATTTCAGTTCTAGGAAGTGCTGAAAGTAGTGCTGGACATGTGAAGTTACTGCTCCTCCTTATCTTAAGTTAACCATTTTCTAAAAATGTTTTACCAGCATCAGCTCTTAGGGGAAACCATGCCTACATGTACAGTTCAAGGTCCTCAGTCAGACTCTGGTCTCATCTCTACACTAGTGGTTTGACAGAGATCAAGTCATAAAGTCCTCTCTTACTGATGATTTGTGGGTTTTGCTGTGGCCACACCTGCTTGCTCTTTCCTGTTCATCAGGCTAACTCCAGGATGTCTTCTGTTTCTTTCCAGCTAGAGCAGTTTGTCCTGTTCCTGTGAGGTCTGAGGCTTCCTTTCTTTTCTACAGCAGTTCAGGGTGTTTGAAAAAATGCTGTTCGGGGGTTTTTTTCCCCTCTGTGAAGGCTTTGAAAGAAGTTATAATCTTCATGTGCATTTACCACATGCTCCAACTGAATTTTAGCTATGGGTAAGCCCTGTCAGTATAACAGACACAACCTCTATGTAGTGTAAAATTTGGCCAGACTTTAAGCGTGCTGGAGAGCTCCTACCACCAGCAGAGACAAGGAACAAGCCACCAGTGCTTTCTGTCATCTACCACACAACAGAGGATTGTGCTGCTCAACAAGTTGAAGTTCATACATCCCTAATTCAGCACATACATCCCTAATTCAGTTAAGGATTCATTCTATCAGAGCCCAAACTTTAAGTCATAGAATCATTAATCCACTGATTAACAGCTATCTTAAGATAGGACTCCTGATCTCACCTTCTGTGCTCCAAAGCCTAATTTATATGGATTAGAAATCACAGGAATGAAACTAATTTATCCATCTTATTGTGGGCACCACTCTTTTGACTATGTTATCCTCAGTCAAAATCACAAAAGGATAAGCAAACTGTCTATTTTCTAGAATACCTGCATGCAATGAGAGAGAAGTTCTGACAGGTAACACAGAACAGCAGGATGCAGATCCTCTTGGAGCTGTGACTCCCTCTCCTCATTACAACGTGCTGTAGAGTAACAAATCAGGGCCCTCACAAAACACAGCACCTGGGAAAAATTTCCTGCTTGTCCACCTTTCCTTGCCCTGCAGGGGAGTTATGATTGACTCCTGTATCCCTGATATACGTGACAGTCTGCAGCTCACACCAGCCCTACCAGCTAACATACCTCTCCTGTGACTGCACATTCGTTCTGCTGTCAAACTTGAGCCTGCCTTCCTCTACCACCCTGTGTGCTGTCAGTAAAAAACAAGTAACATTCTTGGAAAGTCTCTCCCTACCATTATCCAATTAATTCTTCATGCATTTTTTTTTCTCCAAACAGCATAAAACAGGCATTTGGAAAGCTGTAGACCAAAGACTTTTAGCAGAGAAAACTACTTGAGAATATAAAGATATTGTAGGAAAAGGCATAATGCTAATGCCACATGCAAGTTATATTTGTTTAGCTAAGCTGGAACACTGTCAGCTGAAAACACTAGCTGCTTTCTAAGGGAAAATAGAGCAGTCATTTCACACAATTGAATTGATTCAATATGGTTGTTAAAATACATTAAAGCTGCTTTGCCAATTGACTAATGTCTGGGAGACCCATTGTCAATTACACTAGTTTGCAAGCCATCAAGTACATGAATACAAAACAAACAAAGATAATGCCCTTCGCTATATTATTCTATGCACTTGACTTCCCCTGTACAATATCTAAGAAAACATATGAGCTGCACTGCTGTAGACCATATGTTTTATGAGTCATAAGTGTCCTGGCTGGTGCATTCAGCTGACTGAATTTTAGCTTTACTAGAGGAAATAAGGAAGAAAAAACAAAAAGCATTCTTTTGAATGACCTGCATGGCATGTGAATGAGACTTCTCCACCATGAAAAAGCTTCCTTTTGCTGGGTTGCCCAAGGCTGTGGGGTGCATTCGTTTTCCTTTGTATGCAAGTTTTACAGAAACATCTTAACTTCCTATCACTGATACAGCATTAGCCAACCATGCATTTACCTCCTTTTTGTCCCTAAAGACATCGATCTCCTTTTTGAGCAGTTCAACTCTTTGGAAGGCTTCAAGGCTGGTCACAGCATACACCAGAACAAAGCCATCAGCTACAGAGAAATAGTGTTTTGGCAATTCTATGCCCTCCTGCAGACCTCTGGTGTCATAAAGCCTTAACTGTTCCTTCACGCCTCGATCTGTCTCCACCGACGCCAAATACACGTCTTCCATTGTGGCACCCTCTTCTAAGCCTGTTTGAAAACAAGCAGGAAAGTTCAACTGCTATAGGTAAAGCACCACTATAATAAATATTTGCAGGACAGCAGAATTACCCCATAACAGCTTTCAGTGCATGTTTTCTTGTGTGACTTGACCTGGATTCAGCCTTTCCTGGCATTCCCATGGAGGGTTGTATTCACAGATGACCACACTAGCTATTTCCAACAGCATCACTGTAAATACAACCAGCTAATATATAAGCACATGATTATGCCTGTAAAATTAATCTATACAACATGCACATTCAGAATAGGATAAAATGTGTGTTCTCCCCCCCCAGGTTTTCCAAACTCCAACCACCCAGTGTACCAGTTCTGTGCCAAACATGCTGCAAACGGGCCTGCCCGAACATACCCTTTTGGAAGAGCACCTGAGAAACACCAGATAGCAAGTACTAACATCATAGGCCTACTTCTTTGCTTCATAATGAGCTGGGTCACACTGCAGAAGCAGCAGCCAAAGGAATAATTCTGGAAATGAATGTGCATTGGTGGTACATCTAACCAACAAGTGAAACCAAGCCAGAAAGGGAAGGGGATGTTTGCATACAAAAAAAGTTGCATACTCTATTTACTCAAATGCACAGTGATCTTTTTCCATCCCTTAGGGATTTAAAATGACTCAGATTTGCTAATAGGAGCAAGTTCATTTACTGCAAGGTAAGAGCATGCACAAGGTAATAAGCTTTGATATGTGTATCACCCGTTCCATGGTGACTGTCTGCATACTGGCCCTCCTTCCCTCCTCCTCTACCCCTAGTACATGTGAGGTAATTCAAGGCAGCTTGCTTTGAACTAATTTAAACTATTTTTTTTTCCAAGACAAACCCAGAAACACATAAATCACCTTAGCTTTGTGTTCCTCCTGGATGCAGGTGCATAAGGCTACAGGTCCAAACATCCTATGTATAGTGTATCTGGTCCCCTTTCAGAGTTGATTTTAATTATTCATATAAACCCTCTGCAATCCATGTTTTTGCCTCCACTGCACTCCTATATACAATTGTTTGCTGTTGCAGGGCTACAGTAATGAGTCCTGCATTATTCTCTTTGTCTGGCAAAAAGGGACCATTTTAGTGCATTGTTTAAGGAAACACGAGGGATTATCTGGCCTGTGAAAATAAGGATTTTGCTATATTCAATGACACTATTCAAAATACTTCACATTGACAAAGAAGCTAAAGCATTCCACCCACGCTGATGGTTTCTCATGATGTATGCAGCATTCCTGTGCAGGAAAGTGGCACAAGCTGTTCTTTTTGCCCCTCTCTGCGCAGTCTTCATAGATCAAACTCTTATTAGGTTTCCAATGATTTAATTTATCTCGCCTCCAAATATAGCCTGCTAATGTGTGGGAGCAAAACTAAGAACAGAAGGACAAAACAAAGGTTAATAAAAAAAGGAAGCACAAACGCATCCTGTGTGGTTGTAGAATGTGTTATAGGGGTATTTTTAAAGACTGAGGTAGTAATGGAGCCCTTTCTGGATAGAGCACTGTTGTATAGACATAGCACTATGTTCTTGCTCTGCCTTGTTGCATTGTACAGACAGGTCAAGGAAATATCTAGCATCAGTAAATACAGCTTTGGCAAGAAGGAATGAACCATAAATACCTAAGTTTTCTTTTTAGAAAGCAATGAATAATGTTATACAGTTTTTTGTCATCTAAATGCTGCACTGTAATTCAATGACATCTAATATAGCCACGTTATCCTGTGGCAATCTCTTCCTAATGGCATTAAAAGCAGCAGTGAAAATTGTGTCTTTTAACATCCTATTTGAAAACGAAGAGGAAAATTTAAGACCCAGGATTTAACTCAGCAGAAGAGAACAACAAATTTTGATGTGAAATAGGGGGGCCTCTTAGGAGCAAGTTGGAATTTATGCACCAGTGTCAGATTCCAGAGGTGAAATTTCACCTACGTGCACTGGGGGAGGCAGTATATGCAAGTAATTTCCTAAGTAAACACAGATAATTTTTAGAAATACCTGTGCCACCTTATTCAAGGCCTTGCTTGTAAAGCCCAGACCATGTATTAGCCACATGTTGCTGACAATGATATTTACACTTCTTGTTAGTACCGTCCCATTCAAACGCCTTCCTGGTATCCATTCAAACATGGTCCAGGCAAGTTGTTGTAAGGCTAGCAAAACTAGTCAGTGTCCTAGAAAGGTGCTGGCACCATCCAATCCTCCCTGCCACAAGAACCCTGGTTCTCCTTTCCTTCACTGGCATCCCCAGGCACACTCCCATCTTTGCTACCTGGGTGGGCAAGGGCAGCTTCTGCTGGTAAGTTACCACCCTGCAGACTGCTGCCAGCTTGAGTAGATTTTCTTTGGAGGAGAGCACTACAGTGGGCCACCTTTCAGGTTCAGAAGTTACAGGAGTAAAGGGGAACTGACAAGACAGTGCACAATCTCATGCTTTCTTTGAAAACTAAAGGTATAAAAAAGTTAGGAAGGGGGAGGAGGAATAGAGAGGAGTGATGCCATTCTCCAACACCTACTTAGCTGGTGCAAATCTTAGGAGAGGCAGAAGGGTCTTTGTCTATGTTACCAACTGCTGACACAGAGGAACTGCAAGGGGAAGCCTCAGTCATAAATTGGACGGTGTTCAAGCCTTTGTGGTTTCCCAATGAGGTAAAGAAAAGGCTCAATATACTAATGAATACTGCACACTCAGGCCTGGCATGGCAGATATATTGTAAATACCAAAGTAAACCAAAATTTCAAGATGGATGGAATTTCATAAGTTCACAATTGAATCTTGAACATAAATGCAGTGCAAATTTTTAGTCTTCTAAAGTACTTTTGAAGATCTATGTAATCTCTTTTTCCCTTTTTCTGGAGGAATTCAGCAAAGAGCTTCTAAAGCCTGCTATCTCTTATGTTTGTAAACTGCAGGATAAGGGGCTTTGCTTACTTAGGTCTCAAATGACAGTCTATCAGAGGATCCCTGACTCAGAGAAGAGCTGGGCAGATCTCAAAAGGAGCTGGTCTATATAGATTTAGCTGCTAACAAGTAGCCAGGTTGTGACCCTCGGTTGTATACATTCAGCTCCATTTTCATCTTACTAAAATGCAAAGCTGACTGCACCTCTATCATGAGGTAGTTTTAATTTAAGAAGCAAATATGTAAAAAGGTGTCTCTGCCCATGGCAAGGGGATTGGAAGGAGATGATCTTTAAGGTCCCTTCCAACCCAAACCATTCTATGATTCTATGAATGCATAATTAGGTTAATTAGCCTCCACATCTTATGAGCTGTATAAGCCAAAACCCCAAATCCCTCCAGCTGGACCAAGTGAGGCAAACTCTCTCATTATGGGTTCTACCACAGTAATATATGGTGTTTTCATTCCTACTTAGTAAGAGGATCTGAGGTAGCTGCTTGTGAATAACATGGCCATACCAGCTATTTACGCAGCCAGGAGGCAGAGATAAATGTTCTATAGGAAGAGTTCTCATCTCCTTCTGTTGAGCTGATAAGCTTGACCATAGGTTTCAAGGTAAAGGCAGAAAGAAGACTCCTTTCTGCACCATCACTGAACAAGGACACTGTTTAAGGAAAAATAACTATCCTTTTTACAGATATGTCCCATGCCAAAGTTAAGGCCACAACTCTCCTGTTAGCCTAGTCAAGAGAGGTCAGGCCAAGCAGTGCCACATACCACAGGTATTTAGTGGGACAATCTTCTATTGCCAGTCAAAAACCCATTTCATGACATTTCCCATCCCAGGTACCAGGCAATCACAGAATCATAGAATAGTTAAGGCTGGAAAAGACCTCTAAGATGATCAAGTCCAACTGTTAACCCAGCATTGCCAAGCCCACTACTAAATCGTGTCCCCAGGTGTACCCAAGCGCCACACCTATGTGTTTTTTGAACACTTCCAGGGATGGTGATTCCATCACTTCCCTGGGCAGCCTGTTCCAATGCCTGACCACCCTTTTAGTGAAGAAATTTTTCCTAATATCCAATCTAAACCTCCCCTGGCATTAATTGAGGCCATTTCCTCTTGTCTTGTTGCTTGTTACTTGGGAGAGACCCAACTCCCACCTGCTCCAACCTCCTTTCATGCAGTTGTAGAGAGTGATAAAGTTCCCCCTGAGCCTCCTTTTCTCCAGGCTAAATAACCCTCAGTTGCTCCTCATGGGACTTGTGCTCTAGACCCTTCACCAGTTGTGTTGTCCTTCTCCTGGACCCACTCCAGCACCTCAATGTCCTTCTTGTTGTGAGGGGCCGAAAAGTGAACACAGGATTTGAGTTGTGGCCTCATCAGTGCCGAGTACAGGGAAACAATCACTGCCCTGGTCCTGCTGGCCACACTATTTCTGACACAAGCCAGGATGCCATTGGCCTTCTTGGCCCCCTGGGTACACTGCTGTGCATTTACAGGTATCATATACATATGTGCAATTCTTAACAACTATTTGTCCTGACCTATGGCAATACAGTCCCTACATGACACAAAGCTGAATCTGCACCCATTTCAAACATCTCCTTTTGGGACTTTTTCTGATTCTTTGTATTAGTTTAGCAAGAGAATCTGCCATGCGACATGTACATTATTTTATGTGGCCCTGAGAGCGTCTCTCATCTTTTTGCCCTCTCCCTTCCCATCCTGGGGCACAAGGCAAACAGCTTCTCTTGCAGTTTAAAGCCTAGCACAATATCCAGTACCACACATTGTTGCTCACATGGTCAGCAGCTAACACTCTTGCAAAGACACTAAGATTACTTGAGGTCAAAGAGGAAAAAGTACTCAGGAGGGAGGAATACCTCTGTAGCATGTGAGCGACAGTGGCACTTAGGGACTTCATCGGTGACAAGCCAGGGAGACTTGAAGGTGCACATTTTTCTAGGTAAAGAAACACAGTGCAACTGGGTTCACAGCAACATCACCAAGCACACAGCCAGGAGCATGGGCTCAAAGCCAAGGGCTTTACATAGCACTGTGAAACCTCCAAAGACTCCAATCACTTTCCTGACAGCAGCTGTGTCTCCACTCTTTTTACAGGAAAGTCAACAGGAGGCACATGAGCACTGACATAGACACAAGGCTGATTTACAGCCAGGAGGAACCTCTCGTGTCAATAGCTGTGACACTTCAGAGAATGGCATCAGACCTTGTGCTCTGAGCCTCCAACTAAATTCAGGCATGCCTCTTGTCACTGGGAGGAGGATGTGCATGCCATCAAAATGGAAAGACTCCATGCATTGGCTCAGCAGTCCTCCCCACGGCTCCCCAGCCCTCAGACCAGCCACGGAGCTGCTCCTGACGTCAGTCAGGAAGCACAGGTTTTGAAACAGCTTGTGTCCATGTTGCCATGCCCAGTGAGCTGCCTTGTTGGTTGGCTCTGAACAGACAGGCTTTCAGCAAACACACTAGTCTTTTTTGCCCCCTGCCAAAAAGGCCAGAAGCCAGAATGTACATGTCAGCTTTCTGGAGCTCGCAAGCTTTAGGAAACGAGCATCATAACCCAGTAATCATGTTTCAAGCGTGGAAGGGCCACCCCTGCAATGGTAGCACCAGCAGTGGGTCTGTGCAGTTTAAAGCAGCTCAGCTAAGAAGCACTCAAAGACTCGCCATTCCTCAAACTCTGTCTTTGCTCAGCGAGACCCTCACAGTGGCGTCCTGCCTCTGCAGCTTGAGGGCTAAATCAGTACAGAGTACAGTACAGTACAGTACATTTTCACCAGCCCATACTTCAGGCACCCTCTGCCACAACTGCCCATGTGCTGAGGAAGAGGCAGGGAGGATGGTGACCACTCAGGAGGACTGCCAAAACCACCAATTTACCAGTCTACCCCCTGAAATGTGCCTGATGGCCCACGCGAGTGACATCAAAACTGCTGAGCCACAGTCTCTCATCCTTTGGGGCTGCAGTGGCTCCATAATGAGCCCTCTCCATATCCTGATCTTGACCCTACTATTTGCCCTCTTCTCTGAATGTCTTGGGAATAAGATTTGACCAAAATCATAGAAACCAGGAGACTACCTTCTTCCTTCTCCCCAGCTGCTCCCTCTCTTTCTGATAATTCCAAAAAATAAGAGACGAGCTGCAGGAAAGGAAAACTGATCTTTTTCAAGATGTGGGGGGTGGCATTTCTCAATGGCCAAGAGGGAGCAGAGCATTTGGGAGCGACAGAGGGACACCCACAGCTAAACTCCAGGCACAAGGTCTCCCTCCAGTTATGTCAGCCAGTATCCATGACGTTGTATAATCATGTACATGGCTGGCTCCTCCATAAATAGCTCCTCTGATCAGCAACACCCGAATATCCTTCCTGCCTGGGTTGCTAATAGGAGGCAGGAATTAATGCAAGGCAATACGATTTAAGTAACGTGGCCTTGCTCATGCTGCTCGGGTGTCCCTGACAATCACCCAGCCCAACACAGAGGAGAGGCAGGTTGGTAGCACAGGGAAAAACCTTCAGCCTCCAGGTTTTGCAACCTTCACGTTGAAAGCTACACGGGGCTACGTGCGTAGCGCTCGGTAGGATGCTAGAAACAGATGTTGCTGCAACATTAGAGGAAATCCTCCTTTTAAACACGGGTATTAGCACACAGTTCTGTATCACGCTTTGCCAGCAAATTCCTCCCATCCACGCATTTTAAAGGTGCAGTGCTGCAAAGCACCATTCTAGAAATCCTGGTGTATATGCAGTAACTTATACCAAGGTCTAATTTAACAACTCAAGAAAAAGATACATAGTGACTAGGCATCTTCTGTCAAAACCCTGGTGCCACCCCTTGTTTCTGGGTGAGGCAGCAATAATTTGTCAGCTTAATGATCCTTGCCCTTCCTCTCAAAGCCAAGTCATGTGGAAACAGAGGGAAATATGCCGGTTTTGCCTTTGTTCCCTTTCTTTTGTGCACGGCAAATCTCAAACATCCCCTGCTCCACCGTCAAGTCTATTTTCCACAGGAGGATTTCTTTGAGAGCTGAGACACTTGGCCTTCAAAGTTCAGCACAGAATGTGGAACCTAAAGCTCAGCTGTTTTTCTTGCCAGAGCTTTGATGTTAGCCAAAACCAAGCAAAACAAAGCTTTAAGAAGATGAAACAAAAGTCTAAACAGTGTCTCCACTCATCATGTGACATCTATTTATTTTTCAGGCATCTATGGTATCCTTCAGGGAACGAGATATTTCTTATGTAAATAGGCAGCAAGCACATCACCTACTTTCTGTGTTTGTTTCTTTTTAAACATTCACATGTTTTAAAACTGGGAACATCATGGAAAGGGTTCTTCTCCAAGGCTCATTTAAAAAATCTGCCAGTAAGTGACTATGAATTTCAAGAACTGCCCAGAGATGCAACAAAACCACATGAATTTTCTCCTTCACTTCAGTGCAGTTCTCTTTCACCTCAGTTACTGGTGTTTTGGGGCCCACACAGAACAAGACACTGGAAAAGGAAACAACCTCCCCCCAAAAGTAAAAATGTCTCACCAACAGTATGCTTTCCATAGAGAAGCTGCTCCAAAATCGCAGTCTTTCCCACTGAGGCCATTCCACAAACCACCACTTTGTAGCCCTTTCCCATCTTTCCCGAGGGAGCAGAGTCGGCGGGCAAGCCCTGTGCAGACACAGGAGGCTGTTAGCCTGGCACAGCGGCAGGGATCGGCTCCCAGCGGGAGCAGAGCCCACGGAAAGCGAGAGGCAAAGCGCGAAGCAGGGAGTGACTGGGAGGCACAGCTCCCTCCCAGGCGCTCGCCAGAGACTGATATTTTTAGGACTCGAGTTTCCTCCCACACCATTTTTTAAGGTTTTTAGGTTGCTGCCAGTGGTGCTGATGCCTGCCTGCAGCCTTGACACTTGTCCTGTCAGGCTCAGGGAGGCTGCGAGTGATTAAGTGTGGAAGGCCCCAGGGGTAGGGGCTGTGTTTGTTGGCATGTGCGTAACACTGTGCTATTGGGCTGCCTGGTTTTGCAGTGGGCCTAATGGTATCTGATGGTACCAGGATGGTTCTGGAAATGCAAGAAAATGGTGGTTCCCTCCCTTTTATTTCACCCACAGAAAGTTTCTAGCTTTTACAGACTAGGACCTACAAAACAGGAGTGTTAAAGGCAGAAGTATGGAAAGCAAATGCAGAAGCAGGTTTTTTCGGTCTGCTTTAAATCAGTTTGGATGGGTGGGGGTTGGTTTTAGCAGGAGGTGTCCAGCAGCCAGGGGCAGTTCCCTCTGCCAGTGAGCCATGGCAGGGCAGCAGGCCCTAACTCAGTTTGTTCTTTGGAGCCATTTGCCACAGAGAGAGATGAAGAGTACCTTTTTTTGGACCGGGGGGGGCTGGCGTTGTCCTGCTTCAATTCCAGTTTAACCAGGTAACACTTCACAAGCCAGGGTGCTCTGCAAAGCATACACCAAAAACCAGAAAGGTCACCCTGCAGCCACAGGCAGGAAGGAATTGCAGGCTGGGAAAGCCTAACTCATAGAAACATAGAATGGCTTGGGTTAGAGGGGAGATTAAAGATCCTCTCCTTCTAGCCCCCCTGCCATAGGCAGGGATGCCACCCATCAGACCAGGTCACTCAGTGACACTGCACACAAGAGGGATGAGAGCAGATTGATGGGTAAAGTCACAACCTTGGCCCCAGCCTGGGCTGCTCATGCTCACCATGTCAGGGAACATCCCCCAGGGCTGCAGCTCTGGGGGCTCCCTGGTGCCCTCCTCCTTGCCCCCCCACTGAAAAGGTTTTGGAGCTGGTTTTAGGGCTTTTTCAGCCCTTAGGGTTTATTATTTGGAATAGAATAGAATCATCAAGGTTGGAAGAGGCCTTCAAGATCATCCAGTCTAATCATCAATCCAGCACTACCCCTGTGACCCCTAAACCACATTATCCAGCTCCAGATCCAGATGCCTCTTAAATACCTCCACAGATGGTGAGTCCACCACCTCCCTGGGCAAACCATTCCAACGCCTGACCATCCTAACAGTGAATTTTTTTTTCTAATATCTAATCTGAATCTCCACTGTCTCACCTTAAGGCCATTTCCTCTGGTCCTCTCACTGCAGGCACGGTAGAAGAAACTGACCCCCACCTCACTACAATCTCCTTTCAGGTAGTTGTAGAGAGCAATAAGGCCCCCGCTGAGCCTCCTCTTCTCGAGACTAAACAAACCCCAGCCGTTCCTCATAGTCGTATGATTTCTTTAATTATTATTTCAGAGATTTTTTTTTTTAAGGCTTCTTTTCAGGATTTTGAGGGAAGTCCCGTCGTCCCCCCCCAGTCCCTAACCTGGAGGGGAGGGTGGGGGGTGTTTCAGAGGATGTCGCATCTCGCCGAGCCCCTGCCCCGGATCCGGCCCCGGTACGCGCCCCCGCCCTCAGCCCCCGAGCGCGCCCCCGGCCCCCGAGCGCGCCCCCTCCCGCCCCCCGCCCGCGCGCACCTGGGCAGAGCCTCGCGCCGGGCCCATTGACCCGTGCGGGCCACGCCCCCTCGCTCCCATTGGCGGGCGCGGGGGGCCGGGCCGCGAGGGGCGGGGCGAGGCACGCAGCACCGCTCCCCTGCCGGGACTGCATTACCCATGAGGCGCCGCGGCAGCTGCCGGAAGCAAGGTGCTACCGCTAGGGTTTGTGGGAAGAGGCCCCTTCTTTTCCGGTACCGGGCGCCATCAGGTGAGGGATTATTCGCGCGCGGCCTTTCCCTCCATCTGCGTCCATCCCCGGATTCCGCCGCACATCCGCCCAGACCCGGGCGGCACAGGACTGCTCCCGCGGCGCGGGCGCCCTGGGAGGCCAGTGGGGGAGGGCCGGGGGACTGCGCCCCGGCGGGGCGGGAAGGGGAGGAGGAGTGGCTGGGGACAGCCGGGGGGTACCCAGGAGCGACACTGGCGCGACGTAGCGGCTGCAGGTCACTGACAGACCTCAGGCCCCGCTTTGGCTCCGGGTTTGCGATTCCTTCATGGTGTTCTGTGCCATAATGCAGGGAAAAAGGTGGGCCTTAGGGAATGGGAAGGGATGAGCCGTAGCTGGGCAGGTTTAAACAAGAGGGGTATCCAAATCACACACGAGCTGGATTTGGATTTTTTTTTCTTATAATGTAAATAAAATGGGCGGCCTGTTCCTGATGGTGAGTTGGGTGGGGGTTTGATGGAGTGCGGGTACACGTGCTGGTTGCTGCAGGCGTGTGAGACCTCAGGTTTCTAGGAAACCAGCAATAAACAGGATGAACACATGAAGTAATACTTGATTTTAAAATGCCTAGAGCTTTTCAGAGGTGTTCGACTCAGAAAAGGGGGTTTGTAATAATCGTTATTTTCTTAAGGGCAAAGTAGGAATATTGTGTTGAGTCCTTGCTCTGCTAAAGTCAATACAAATTGACCCTGATGGTACTTAGCAGAAATAATTTAAAGAAATTAATTTAAAAGAAAAGAAAACACAAAGCATCTGTGGAGCAGAGCACAGGCTCAGATGTCACCATCAGCGGGACGCTGAGCTATGGCACTTGATTTTTTGCTCCATGTGTGACCCAAGCAGTACACCTCACTTTGCTTAAAGCCCAGTTTCAGCAGATGTGGAGAAAGGCCTTGTCTCTCCTGAGATGCGGGAGGCACAGTGTGTGTAGCACTGAGGGAACAGAAGTCCCAATGCAGTTCTTTCCATTTCTTAGGCAACTGTTAAGCTTTCACTTGCCAGTAAAACCTTATTAAAGTAAGTGTTAAGAATAAAGACTACACTACTTGCCCTCCCCTAGTTCTGTGTAGATTGACATTTACAACTTGTTTCAGGTGTTAACTGTTATTATTGGTAGTATCAGACATAACACATCAGAAACTTTCTCAGTGGAGGAGTTTTTAACACCTCAGAGCATATGAAAAGGAGAAAAATTGCTGGGAATGGTGACTGCTGCGTGTCCTGCTGAGGGTTGCCAAGTGTGATCCATGTTACCAGTTGTGTCAGTGGTACAGAGGAGCTTGTGAGCTCCCTGTCTCTCAGTGGTGTTCCGTGTGTGGTTTTTTGCAGTGTTGGTGTTGGAAGACACTCAAGTTTGTGATCGGGTTTTGGTGTGTTGTTTTCACCAGCCTCTCCGTTCAGCAGGTAGACAGACATGGGTGCCTACAAGTACATCCAGGAGCTATGGAGGAAGAAGCAGTCGGACGTGATGCGTTTCCTGCTGCGTGTGCGCTGCTGGCAGTACCGGCAGCTGTCGGCCCTGCACCGGGCACCACGTCCCACCCGCCCGGACAAAGCCCGCCGGCTGGGGTACAAGGCCAAGCAAGGTAATGGCATGGAGAGGTGAATTCCATGTGCCTCAGAATGCGGTGACCTATCCTTAAGTGACAGCAGGATAACAATCTGAAACTGAAGCATCCCCCAATAAACTGAAGTGTCCAACATGAAATCAGATGAGTATCGTAAATGCGTTCAGTTGGTAGCAACATCCACAACCTAAAACCTTAGCTCCCCTTAATTTTCCATCTGCACCTTCTATGGCTGCTTTGGCAGGTGAAGATCAAGTGGGCTTTGGCACCATTCTTGGGCAGTGTTGGTACTGCAGAGTTGAGCAGTGCTGTTAATATCTTGGGTTTAGGGGGTGTTCTTTCTCTGCCCAAGCATTGTCATGCGTTACTTCGGCTTTTTTCAGGGTGACTTAATTGCGGCCTTCCAGTACCTAAAAGGAGCTACAAGGGAGCTGGAGAGGGACTTGTACAAGAGCATGTAGTGATGGGACAAGGGGGAATGGCTTCAAACTGAAAGAGAGTAGGCTTAGCTTAGATGTTGGAGAAGAAATTCTATACTGTGATGGTGGTGAAACACTGGAACAGGTTGCACCATCCTTGGAAGTGTTCAAGGCCACGTTCGATGGAGCTCTGAGCATCCTGCTTTAGTGGAAAGTGTCCCTCTCCATGTCAGGAGGTTGGAACTAGATGACCTTTCAAGTACCTTCCAACCTGGGCCATTCTGTGATTCCATGACTCTTATTACAGCTGCATGCACTTGAGTAAGCAAGGTGATGGAGTTTGTACTGTTATTGGAAAACAGTGACTGCTTAGGGAAGGAAGTGGAGAAAGTGGCCATCTATGTGTAACTTGAGCAAATCCCATTACAAAAACCAGTATGTTTATTCACTAGGAAAATAAAAAGCTAAGACTCTACACTTCTGTCACTGCTCATCTAATTTGGTTATTTTCCAGTGATTAGATTTCAGTAGGGTTTGTGGATGGCTTGTGCTTCAGTGCTTTATAAATGCTGCTATTAGAGTATGAGATTTTAGAGTTTGAGTGGTGGCTTTGTTGAGTGTTCTGGGGTGATTATTTTCTTTTTTTTTAAATTTTTTACATTTTGTAATCATGTTACAGCGTAGCTGTGGCTGTTCTTAGTCTGTTTGAGACTGAATAGTGAAAAGGTGCCATTACCTCTGGTTTGGAACCAAAAACTAGTTGTGAGAGGATATCACTTCCTTTACTCTGTTGTGATGAAAATAACGAAAACATCTTGTGCTATCCACCTCCAGCTGTAAATTTTGGTGAAGGTTATTATAATGACTTTAGTCTTGCAGCATTTCATGTAAATTTTGGGAGGTTGGAAATGCAGTATGGGCATTAAAATTGGTACTAGAATTCTCCTAGTTCTTAAGTCACCGTTTCTTTCAGGTTACGTGATCTACCGTGTCCGTGTCCGCCGTGGTGGCCGCAAGCGCCCAGTCCCGAAAGGTGCCACCTATGGCAAACCTGTGCACCACGGTGTTAATCAGCTCAAGTTTGCCCGGAGCCTTCAGTCTGTTGCAGAGGTGAGTATTTTGGTTACTGCTCACAAATTTGGGTAGCAAGGTCTTAGTCTGTAAAAGCTGAAAATACAGACAAAAAAACCCCCAAATCAGCTGTTTTGTTAATATGTTGGGTAAAAGATCTTGAATTCTGGTGGCAGGATAGCACCAGAATGTCTTGAAAAGCTCTGTTGGGACAACAAAAAACCTGTTCTTTACAGATGGGGTTTTGGGGAACCACTTAGGTGGTTTCTTGAAATTCATAGTGTATACTTCTAAAATATGCCACAGTATTTGTAATCAAAAATAGGTAAGTAGTACAAGCCACAATAAAATAAAGAGTTAGGCATGGGAAATAAGAATTCAAATACGCTAAGGTGTCTGACTTGTCGGTAAATGCCACCTCTGTTCCCTGCCATGTTGTATGTATTGCCAGCTGTAGGGGATGGTCCTTTCACAAAGTAGAGGTGAGTTCCCGTCTTAAGGTCTGTAGCACCTGTTTGTGTAGTAGGAGTGGTGCCTGGTGTACTTGGCTGTATCATAGGATCTGAAAGCAGCTGCCAGAGACCATTTGGTTCTTTATAAAATCTTGGGTACCTCACTAGCACACAAATTGGTGCTAAAGTTATTTCTAGGTGAGATGTTGTGTTCACAGTAGTAGTGTGGAAGAGATGTGGTTGTCACCTTTACAAAAAAACTTTTTCAGTGGGTTAGAATTAATAGCAGTCTGCACTCAAAAAGAGACATTGTGAAAGAAGGGGGACTGCTCGTTGCCTTTCTGTCTTGAAGCAGAAGACTTTTCTGTTCTCAAGACTACAGAAGTATTCCTAAGGGACTTCATCAAGTTGAATATGGTGGGATTTTTTTTTCAAGGAAAAAAACGCTTATTTAGAAGAAACACATGATAAGTTTAAGTTAAAAATGCAATTCTCTCACGGCATTCTCTTCATATATGCTATTCCCAGATGGCTAATCACATGCTCACTTGAGATGACAACTATGGAAGAGGTTATTTTCCCTCAGTTTTAGCTTGAAATTTTCTGAATCTGACATACTCTCTCCTGGAAGACTTAAATTTTTCAGGTTACAGAAATACAAAGCCTCAGTTGGAGCTCCCATCCCTGCACAGAAGCTGGTTGAGGGTGGTTGGTGTTTCAGTGTTTCATATAGGTGTTGCTTTTATTCTAGAATAAAACAAGGACTTGAAAAAATGTTATTACATGTGCAGAAGATAGTCAAGTGCTGTTTAGTGGGAGCCAGTAGCAATAGATTGGGATCACGTTGGGGAAGAAGATGAGTGTATTTCATTGGTTCATACTTTCTCATGGTGATGATAAAGTCCTACAATTAAACACACAGTGTTTTAAATAAGGAACATCCTTGACAGGACAGGCAGATGGAATTGCATAATTGTTATTTTCTGCTTTGTTTTGTTTTTTAAACTAAGCCTGCGTCTTTCCAACCACAGGTGATGATAGGAATAGCAAGCACTAATATGCCAGCAGTGGTACAAAAATTTTTTACATCAGCTATTCCTTTTCTCCTATCAGTACAGTCTTACTCTCTGCAGAAATGTGTTTCTCCCCTGTAGCTTTGGATGTGCAAATCAATTGGGCTTTCATAACTTCCCACAAAAGATTGTTCTATGGCCCCAAGTGCAGCTCGTGCTCCTCTTTTTGTATTAAAGTTACTTTTAATGCTGTATTTACTGGTTGGTGCTTCCGTGTAAAAAGA